CATTTTTCTTAAAGTGTGGCATCTGGAACTGGACACAGAACTCAAGATGAGGCCTAGCAAGTGCCACATAAGGGGGAAAGTATTACAGTGGACCCTCTACTTACGGAATTAATCCGTATTGGAACAGTGGCTGCAAGTCGAAAAGTCTGTAGGTTGAATCACCATTGGCCTACAATGCACTGAAAACCGATTAATCCCATAACTGGCAGTTTTTATTCTATTTTTGTTCCATTTTGGTTTTTTTCTGGTCTGTAAGTTGATTTTCCGGCTGCAAGTCGAATCTAAATTTTGCGGCCAGAGAAGTCTGTAACTCGAAAAGTCTGTAAGTCGAGCCATCTGTAAGTCGAGCCTCCACTGTACTTCATGGGATTTGGAGACTGTACATCTGTTAATGCATTTGCCTTTTCTGCAGCCACATCCCACTGTTAACACATATTCAGATTTTAATCTACAACAATACCAAGATCATTCTCTCTCATAGTATTACTGAGCCAAGCGTTCCCCATCTTGTAACTGTTGTGTTATGTCTCCTTCTCGATTTAAGGGAGAATTGAAGTCATCTACAGAAAATAAAGAGAAACATGAGAGCAAGGGAGTCATGATGCCTATTTCTCAGAGAAAGAAAAGGCACTCTGAAGAATCCACGAGTCAGGACAGAAGACAGAGGAGAAGAGAGGGCGGTGAGCAGGCTCCTTCTGAAGATACTAACTCAGATGAGGGTGATCTTCCTGTTGTGTCAAAGAGCAAGAGAAAGGTGAGAAGACCAAAGGAAGGGAAGGGAAGAGACGTTGAAGAAGGAATAGAGGAGAGAGATTCCAGGATCAGAGAAAGTCATTCCCATAGAAGACACAGGGAAAAGTTTGTGTACAAAGAAGAGAAGAGCAAAAGAAGGGGCACAAGGCAAGAGGATCGGAATTCAAGACAACACGATATTGATGCCAAAAGGTGTAAACTAAAGGGCATTGAAGACAATGAGAAGCATGCTCTCAAAAGGAAATATCAGAGGCAACCAAGCAAAAGCAAACATGTCCCCAATATAGATTCTCTAAGAGCAGAATGTGAGGAAGGCTCTTTTTGGGAGCCAGAGTCATGCCAGGTGGAAAGTCATGATGAAAGCAGGGAACAGTATCAAAGGAAGCCTCATTGTGCGGGTAATGGCAAAGCTACCAACAGGAAAAAGGGAGGACACGAAAAGACTCCTGCTAAGAAATCGGGTAGGGTATTTTTGAAAGCAAGTCCTGTGAATTCAGAAGATTCCTCTTGCTCAGACTCCCATTGGAAACAAAGAAGAAGGGATAAGGAGAGTGGAAAGAAGAAGAAAACCAGCAAGGAGAGAAGGAGCTCTTTAGAAGACAGTGAAGAAGATCTCTGTGCTAAGGTATCGTTGCCAACTATTAGGGGAACTCAGTGCTCAGATGAGAGAAGAGGCTTCCGGGAGCTTCAGGAGACAACCAGTGGGAGTGAAGAAAAGCTAGAGGTTGAAGTTGAAAAACAAGAATCTCAGGATGAGGAGCATGACTCTGATGAAGAAAGAAGAGGGAAGAGTAAAAGAGCTTTGCCAATAAAAGTTATGCCAATGGATAGGGATGGTGATAATGAAAGCTGTTCTGAGAACCACAGTAGAGATGCAACACAAGAGAGAGGAGGAGAGGAAGAAGAAGATGATGATGGAGAAAATGAAAATCCATCAGAAAAAGAAAGCAGCAGGGAAGACTTAAATGGAGAGCAGAGTAGGTCTGGGAGTGAAACGGAGGAGAATAAGATAAGTAGATTTAGAAAAAGAAGTAGCGAGACAGCAAGACCACTCCCCAGGACTATAAGCCAGGTGAAGGAAAGCAAGAGTGTTGATGGAATGGCCTGCGTTGAAGCCACATCCTCACCACAGATGATGAAGCATAGAAGTCAACCTTCTGACCTGGCTGATCTATCCAAAGAAACAGCAGGTTGGGAAACGCAGACAAGCCAAGATGCAAGAGCAAAGTTGAACAGTGTGGTTTTGCTTGCCAAGAGACACAATCATCTGACTTCACAATCCCAAATCCTACTGAATCTGAAAAGCAAGCACAAAGATGCTAAATCAAGACTGTTGGTCAGAGAGGAGCGCTGTGCTTCTCACCAAACAGCAGAAATTGTCCCTCTTTTGGAGAAAACTCAAAGTGTCTGTGCAAAAAAGGTTACCACAACAAACAACAAAGTGGTTGCTAAGACTAAGGAGTGTAAACAATCAAGATTATCAACCACTTTGAGCTCACATTCTAAACCTAAAAAACTTTCTGTTCAGAAGAAAAAGAAAGTTGAAAAAGTAACAGGAAAGATCAAAATGTCATCAGATAGTACTGGAGAGTCAACAGAAGAGGAGGAAGCTGTAGAGGAGGACCAAACTGGAAAAAAGGTCACTGAAAAAGATTTAACATCCAAGCAAGCAAGAACCAAGTCTCTACAAACCCTTTCAGCATTTAGGAGGGTAACCCATTGGCTTAGCCATAAGCCTCTCAAGAAAGCCAGTTTGAAAGATCGTTTCTTAAGTATAGTACGTGCAGTTGGTATCTCAGGATGGCTCCTAAGAAGGTTTCGTAAGAGGAAAAGCAGCAATAAGCCATTTGGATTCCGAAGAAGTGTGGCCGTTCGAATTTTTAGCACAGTTGGGTTGGCCAGGAGATGTAGGAGGGCTTCCTACAACCCAACAGGAGAACAAATGAAAAAGGATATCTCTCACAAAATATCTTCTTGTTCCTTGTTAGAACATGATCAAACTGGTGAAAAAGATACAATCATGGGGGAAGAACTTGAAGAAGAAACACAATCTTCAAATATTTTTTCTTGTAATGAAGTCAACTTACAACCTCTGTCAATAAATCCCAATGGAAAGTCAGAGGAAGAGAAAAACAGTTTTACTGATGCAAAGTATGCCATTGTATTTCCGAGAGTCCATCAACTAGTAAAGTCAAAAACCCCTTCTGTTGGCAGCTCTGGTGATAGCCAATCACAGTTGCGGTCAGGTGGTCCACCAAGAAGGAAAACAGTGATGCCCATGCAATATAATGTATCAAAAGCTAATGAGAAAAGGAACAGTCAAGGGTTTCCTTGCAGTCTTCAGACTGAACCACCCAGACCAGGTAAGTCCAACCTCTCTAATCTTAAGAGAGAGGAAAAATTGTTCATGCCAACTAAAAGATGTAGCTGATTGGGTTGTGCTCTGTCTCTTCCCAACCTAAGCCTAAGCTCACTCTCCTCTCTGCTTCCTTGCAATTCAAGTTTCCAGAACAGCCATGTGCACTCTTTACAACTGGGGCGATCAGTATACCACCCATGGGCTGCATTCAGCATTCTGGAAATTTTCACTATCCTACAGCTCTTCTGCCAGTACTGCCACTGAATTTCAGCAGCACAGCAGCAAAACTCAACCCCCCTGCCCCATTTTTGCTGTTTTATATTCAGAATCCTTCTAGGAAGTGCAGTTTCCTCTCTAAAACATGATGCCTGGCCATGAAAATTCTGTCTGGCCTTTTAAAAAATATCAGGCTTTATAGACTTTTTCTAGAATGCAATTTTGTTTTGCCTATCTCCTCCTTTGTACATGGGGATGATCTCTCATCTCTTCCAGAAGTGAAACTTGTGCTGGGTGGGGTAAGTAAGATCACACACATTCAGTGAGCTTGTCTAATATGAAAACAGATGGATTATCTAGGCTACCCTCTCCCAAGCCAAAGCAGAACAGAATATACAAACATGGAGAACACAGTGCAGCAACAGATGTGCTAATAAAATGCAAGCATGGATAAATAAAGTATCAAAGTGATGTGGTTAGTCTTTTCCAATGAAACCTAACATTCGAGGCAAAAAACCATTTCTTCTCTCGGCTACTTCATGTTCTGATTCCAAGTTATTTTCCTGTTATTCTTTTAATCCAAGTAGAAATTGGAGCTCTTGCCACCAGATCAGAGGACAAACACTTCTGTTAATTGTGGGAAAGTAGCCAGGGAACTATTTCCAGGCCTGCCCGGCAACAGTTGATGAGAGAACTCTCTGATAAAAAAGACACTGCAGACTTTATCTTGTTAGTATTCAGGTACCAGTAGAGAAGAAGAAGATGGTTACCTTCTTCACCCCAGACGTTTTTATTAAGCACGCAAAACAAGCAAAATTAGCATAAGATAAGAATTTGGCCATAGAGGCGTCCTGTGGTTATCAGTCTTAAGGCATTCCACGCCTGCGCACAACGAGAATCACATAACAATGGGATGATTATAAGGAGAATCACAGGAGAATGCATGATTATACTAAAATAATGATTATGTTAAACATCACTGATGTATCCCTAAACAACCAAAAAATGGAGCTCTAAACTACAAAATCCCCACAGTTAATTGTCCTAGTTTCCCATTGCCTCATGGAGCAGTAATTAAACTGCAGTACTGCAGCTGAGACTCTGCCCCATGACCTGAGTTCAACCTCAAAGGGCTCAGGTAGCCAGCTTGTGGTAGATTCAGCCTTCCATTCTTCTGAGGTCAGTATATCTAGTACCCAGTTCACGATGGGGGGGGGGAAGCAATGTGTAGCCAGCATAATTAAATTGTAAACTACCCAGAAAATTGTTTAAGCTCTGTGGGGCAGTTATATAAGCAGCATACTTTGCTTTTTGCTATGCTTTGCTATTTTAAAAAATATTGTCAACAGGCTTTTCTTGATGGTATGGGGCAATGAAATTCCAGTAGGCCAATGGTGAGCCAAAATAGCATTCCTGTTCTTTTCATTTGGCATATTATGATGTTTCTTTAAGATGCTGTTTTGATCACAATAAAAGCTACATTCTAGCTCCTTGGAGGTTTGGTTACAAACTCAAATCTCAAATGCACTTTAAAGCATCTAGGATTGATTGATGTGAGTATTTGGTTTTTTTAAATTTATCAGAAGGGAAGGTGCCATGGGTCCCTCCACCTTCCTGCTTGGAGGAGGAAGATGTGGCGGACTTCATTCAGACAGCCACCGCACCGGAAACAATGAATCGTGTGCACTGGACTCAGCACCTGCCTCTTACCTGTGACCCTGCAGCATGGCTGAATTCTGAAACGCTCCTCCCACGGCTCACCATTGAGAACTTGAGCAAGTGGGCTTTCTACAAAGACCAGGATCTTGCTAAGTCTCCTAGGTCAAAAAAAGCATTGCAAGGAAGATGGGAGGCAGAAGATGCTAGTGAAGATATCCTTGAGAAGGACATGGCACACAAACAGGTGAGTCACATTGGAAGTTCTCTTAAGTCAGATGCTTGGTCCCTTAGTTCAGTCTTTTCTGCAACATGGGTGGCTCTCCAGAGCTTTTTTTCATGATGACTCCCATAATTCCTGCTTGCTAAGGTTTCTGGGACTTGGAAGTCAGAACATCTGGAGAACCAAAGCCTTCCCATCCTGGTTCATAGTCCAACAAGCATTGTTTCTTCAGGATTTTGGAGACTGGATTTTCCCAGACCTATGAGGAGATGCCAGGAATTGAACCTTAAGACATGCAAAGTTTGTGCTTGAATGCTGAATCACAAAACTTCCCCTCCATAAGGCTGGCACATGGTACAATACACTGACAGTAATATAAGCAAAATATTATAGGGGAAATGTGGTTGAACTGATGTTATGCTGCTCTTTGTGATGCGTTTGTCTTATGCTGTCTAGGTATATAAAGATGAGGATCGCTATATGGAACTTGAGAAGGTAGAAGACCTTTCGAGACTAGAGTAAGTGATGTACAAAGACATCCTAGAGGGATTATTCCTATTGTGGGGCCTTTTGGCAGCCTTTTATTGAAGGTTTCCACTGGTTCACAGTATTCCCACCAGACACATACTCATCCCTAGCACTAAGGAGTCTCTTCTAATTGGAGCCTCAGGGCCCATTACAGCCCCAGGAATGTAGGATGCATTGATTCATCTCAAAAGGCAATTGCAAGCCTTCTCTCTAAATGGATCCCCTAACTCTGGTTTGTCAGGGAGTAATAAAAATAGTTATGTGAATATTTTTTTAAAAAAAATAGCAATTAAAAACTGATTTCTTCTTCTATTTTCAGGGAAGTCTGCGAAAGCTCTGTGTTGCTCTGCTTAAAGAAGAGATTCCATCACAATTTCATTTATGTATGTATATTATATTCTTAATCTCAGTGTTTGCATGATATAATCTCGGCATGTGGTCAGCAGTAGGTGAGTGGGTTGGGCTACTTCTTTCTTACGTGGTGAGGAATCACAAGTGGCCCATGGTCAAGGAAGGGTGGCTCTTTGTCCTATAAGGAATTCCCCCCCATTCAGACACAAGCTGCCTTGAGGAAAATCCACAGTGAAATACCATGACATGTTGTTTCAGTTCAGAAGTCTTAAAATGTACTGTGTTTCCCCGAAAATAAGACAGGGTCTTATATTAATTTTTGCTCCAAAAACACATTAGGGCTTATTTTCAGGGGATGTTTTATTTTTTCATGTACAACAATCTACGTTTATTCAAATACAGCCATATCATCTTCTTCTGGTTGCTGCGCAAGGGTAGAGGGCAGGGTTTCACTTAACTGGGGCTTATTTTTGGGGTAGGGCTTATATTATGAGTATCCTGAAAATCATACTAGGGTTTATTTTCAGGTTAGATCTTATTTTTAGGGAAGCAGGGTATATAGCAGGGGTCAGGGAACTTTTTTACCTTTTACCCCCCAAAAAATTTATATACGCCGGCATTACCCCTTTGATTCGAAAGGAAGGAAATCATACACTATTTTAATTAAAAATATTATTGAATCTATACAGGCTGTGTACCAAACTAGCAGGATGCACCAAATTTGATAAAGATGTGCACTATTTTTGCTGGAACACATTGCACTCCAGCCATAGTGTGGTATAGGGAGTAGTAAGGTGTCCAACGTGCCTAGCAAGTTGCATTAATTTTTTGCTAGC